GGGGGGGGGGGGGGTTTTACGAAAAGAAAAGGGTTAAAAAGAAAAAACAAAATCAATCTCTTGATTCTCGTCTTCAGGCCCACAAATATAAACAAATTCCTCTCCAACATACCCACTGGGCTGATTGACTCCCAAAAATTCAGCCCCACCATGTGCAAATCCCTTTTTCCATTTCTTGGCATTTTCTTCAACTTCTGGCCAAAATTAAACCAGAAAAAGCCTCGACCCCCCACCCCGAGAGCCCACATCGCATTTTAAGAGAGGCGAGCATAACTCAGCTCTGAGACGAACTCAAATTCGATTGAGTTTCTCTATCATCATTCCCTTTCCTCTCTAATGAATCAAGTTTTCAAGCTCGCTCGTGATCTTGTTCTCTCCCCATCACTTGTCCTCGACAAAAACCCTGCGAACAAAATCGCGAAACCTCTTGGAGTAGAGCTTGGGATCGACAGCCGAGATGGAGGTTGGATCAACTTGGAAGGACTTATAGGCATGCTCAAGCTTCTTAGTGATATCGTAGTCTTGGAGAATATCAATGACCCCAAAATACATGACCACATCATATATCTCGCCATGAACGTGAGGCCACTCTACTCCGCCCCCTTCATAATCGCTACGACGCACCACAACTTGCTCCACCCTAGCAGGCATGCCCGCCCCTAATCGAACTCGTGGTTTCCTGCAAAATTTAATTAATATGAATGATTTTTTGATGGAGCAAGATGCAATATGGGGCAAACAGAAGGGCAAATCCCATTCTTGGGCTGTTTTCAGTATTGGCAGTTGATCAAGAAGTTCTCAATACCATCGGCTATTTGTCAATTATTTTTAGTTGACTTGTCATTTTAAAATTATAAATAAAAGAGAATTCCAAGAAAAGTAAAGAGGTATATACTTTTCTTTCTCCAAAGAATTCAAGTTATTTCATGCACCAGCATGCATTTACAACTAATTAATTTATCCAATGGTATAGACTCATTTGAAAGTTAATTCTGAAAATTTGGAAACCAAAGTGAAGAAAAGCAGCACTAGAAAGATGGAGAATGGGTAATACCAGTCAGTTTCAACCTTGGAGAGACGACCAGCTGGCGAGTCCTTAAGAGCAAGCTCCAATTCACCAGTGCCTGTGCCGAAAAAGAAATGGTTGATTTATCTTATATTTTGATAACTAAATTATTAACAATCGAATGTGTGATAACATGAATATCTAAACCACTAGTTTGTAAGAGGACTTACTGTGTCTGGTATCCATGCCCGTAGATGAGTCTTTGAAGTGAAGACCAACCAGCAAACTGTAATCCATGATCCTCTCGGCTTCCAAGAACTCACAGTCTTTATCTATTTGCCTGATGGAGAGACAAGAAGCTAACATAATTAACATAAAACCCATATATTAAATAAGATTACATCCCATAAAAAAAACCAGAAAAGAAAAACAAAAATTCATTTGGAGAGCTCTGGGGTGGGGGAGAGAGAGAGAGATTACCTGAGAAGTTCTTCGTACCAGGACCTCTGCAATCTGAATACAAAATTGAGGTCAAGGTCTTTGAGGGTGGTTGTTTCATCAATCTCGCCTTCAGACTTATCAGTGGAGCGGCCATACGAAGAACCTTTCAGGTCGAATCGTCTGTGTATCCGATACTCCGAGCAAAACAGATTACCCATCACTATAAACCGTACCTGTTTAAAGATATCTAGCCAATTAATACAAAGCCAATTTTATAAAAAATACATATCCATATATCATGATCAACACAAAATTTCTGTCCTCACAATTCAAGCAAACGTCATCACATCACAAAAACAACTACAGTCCCAAAGACAATCTAACTACAAATATATATATATATATATATATATATATATATATATAGTAGAGAGAGAGAGAGAGAGAGAGAGAGAGAGAGAGAAGAACATACAGACACACACACTATAGTAGAGTAACTAAATAAACTAAGTAAACGTAAAAGTAAATAATAAACTAAATAAAACTATAGTTATCTACGT